GACTCATACTGACCACTCCTTGGGTTTCCAAGGCAGTATCACTATGGAAGTAGATTGCCCAACCTTCCTTCCGAGGAGTGGCTGGTGAGTTTGAACCGCCAGCCTTCTGGTTAGCAGTCAGGTGCCTTAGGCACTATGCTACCATAGCTCCTGCTATAATAATGGAATTAAGTAGTTGCAACAGAGATGACAGGGCCCACAAGGCCTAAACTATCTACTGTCTGGCCCCCATTCTAGACTTTAAGTATGTATCTTATTCATCTGTAAATCCCCCACAGTACCCCAAATAGGTCTAAGTACTGAGCCCATTGTAGGTGTTCAATAATTTTTTAAAATTGTGCTAAAATATATATTAGGAGCTCTGGTAGCATAGTGCCTAAAGCACTTAACTGCTAACCAGAAGGCTGGTAGTTCAAACCCACCAACCACTCCTTGGAAGAAAGGTTGGGCAATCTTCTTCCGTAGTGATACAGCCTCAGAAACCCAAGGAGGGGTCACTACGAGTCAGAACTGACTCAATGGCACATAACAAACAACAACAACAAAATATGTATTACAAAACATTTGACATTTCAGCCATTTTTACATGTACAATTTAGTGGCATTAATTACATTCACCACCTTGTGGAACCATCACCACTATCCATTTCCAATTTATTTTCTTCTCCCTTAACAGAAGTCCAGTGCCCCTTAAGCAATAACTCCCTCTCCCACCTGCCCCTCGTTATCACTAATAAATTTTGTCCCTATGTTTTTGTCTGTTTTAGATATTTCATGTGAGTGGGATCATACCATATTTACCCTTTTATGTCCAATTTATTTCACTCTAGTAATGTTTTCAAGGTTCATCACATTGTAGCATTTATCAGAATTTCATTTCTCTTTATGGCAAAACACTATTCCATTGTATATATTTTCATTTTGTTTATCCATTCATCTGTTGATGGACACTTAGGTTATAGCTACATTTTGGCTATGGTGAATAATGCTGCAGTAAACATTGGTATACAAGTATCTGTCTGAGTCCCTGCATTCAAGTTTTTGGTATATACCTAGGAGTGGAAGGAATTGCTGAGTCATACGGGAATTCTGTGTTTAACTTTTTGAAGAACTACCAAACTGTTTTCCTCAGCAGCTATACCATTTTACAATCTTACCAGCAGTGGATAAGGGCTTCAATTTTTTCATATCCTTGACAACACATTTTTTGTTTTTCTCATCATAACCATTCCAGTGGGGGTAAAGTTCTGTGGTTTTGGTTTACATTTTCCTAATGACTAATGACCTTGAGCATCTTTCCATAAGCTTATTGGCCATTTGTGTATCTTCTTTGGTAAAATAGCTGTTCACATCCTTTGCCCATTTTTTGATTGGGTTGCTTGTCTTTTTTTATGGAGTTGTAGGAGTTCTTTTATATACTCTGGATATTAAACTCTTATCAGATATATGGTTCCCCAAAATTTTCTCCTATCCTGTAGATTGTCTCTTCACTTTGTTCATTAAATCCTTTGATGCATAAAACTTTTTCATTTTGATAAAGT